TCTCTCTCTCTCTCTCTCTCTCTCTCTCTCTCTTGGGATAATCGGTAGAAGGTGCCCACGCCAAAACCTTTTCGGTTTTGGCCGCCCAATATTTAGTCGTTTGGTACTACCGGCCCAATGACTTGCAAGTGGGGTACTACAGGCCCACGCGTCGCTCCAATGGCGCTACCGGATCATGAATCTGGCGCATAACAGCGGTTATAGCGCCATATTCATTTTGATGTAAAAGAGGCCGGCAGTGGTGAAGCTGAAGTATGGAATGAGGCCCACGTACGCGATTTTGAAAAAGAAGGGCCCTACCGGTTTATTTGACGGGACCATACGAAGTAAGTTGACTTGTGGAGTACACTGGCGGTGGAGGATTCGCGGGTTTCAGTCTCGGGCCCTGTTTTTTTGTTCGACGGTTATAACCCGCGGGTTTCAGTCCCGAGGTACATTTTGTTGCCAGTACCGGGTCCTCGTCCCGGGGTATTAATTTTTTCTTTTGTGGCAGGTCAGAGGTTCGATTTCTGGCTTTAGTTCGCGCCCTTTGTGTAGACATTTCTACAGTCCCTTGATGGATTCTACGACTTCTATTTAGAGCACATGATATAAATTAGTGACGTCTGCATAGGCTAGACACCTCACGAATGACGAAGACCCCTGACGAGCGCCGGTGGCGGCCGACCGAAACTAGTCGGGTCATTGCCGTCTGTACTTCATTCAAATTTTTCGATGCTGCATTCGGGAGAACTTTTTTCATCCTGGTGTTTCTTCTTGTCTTTTCCTCCTCTTACTCCCTCTTCTTCGCTCCCTCTCCTTTTGTCTTCATTTTTGTCTGGTCTCCAGTCCTTGGACGATGTGATGTGTATTGATAACTATTGTTACTGTTTATGCTGAGGTTGCACGATTGGATGTACTAATCACTTCCATACACGGAGTAACCGTCGTAGAGGTTAGACTGCGTTACAAGTGGCTTCGGTAATTTTGTCGGCAGCATCCACAATGGCTACTACTTCTAGCATACGCACGTGCTACAACTGCGGAGATCCTAATCATTTCGCTCGATGGTGGCCTCATAAAACCGCGGTACCGAACACTGTTGCTGCTCCTATTCTTACCCTTCCGAATCCTTCGACTACCGCTCCTCCTCCTCCTCCTCTTCCTCCTCCACCTCCTCCTCAGACGAATGTAGGAGCCGTATCTGGGAATCAAGGTCAATACGCCAAAGGAACCGGGTGGGCCAATCAGAATCAGCGCGTCGTGGAATCAAGTTCAATACGCCAAAGGAACCAGGTGTGCCAATCAGAATCAGCGCGTCGTCACTCTCGAAGATAGCGTTGGGAAGATGAGAGCATGGTATGACGCGGCGGTGGCAAAAAAAGTAGCATGAAGAGAAGAAGAAGAGAAATTGAGAAAGGCGAAAGAAGAAGAAGAGCGACGGTTGGTTGAGAAAAGGGAAAGGGAAACTCTCAATAAGGAACTCCATGATGCGATGAATGTCAGATTAGACGCGATGTATGAAAGTTTTCGAGCTCAGAAGAGTAGCAACGGTAATGGTGAGCCAACAATGCAGAAGCTTTTGAAAGAGATTGAGAAGTTACAGCTGGCGCAAAGCGCAACAGCTAAGAATGACAGTGCCTCGACGAGTAGACCTCCGGATGACGCGTTGCTTGCTAAGATGATGCAGGAACATGAGGAGATGAAGATGAAACTTGAAGCTGCGGCGGTGGCCAACAAACATGTTGAAACGGTGGAGGAATCCTTGAGAATGATTAAACAACAGCATGAGCTTGCGATGCAGGAAGCAGAAAGTTGGAAGAGGGAGGCGCTTCGATCTGGCAATAAGCGTAGCCGGCTGGCAACATCCCCACCATCACAGCTCAAGATGCCTTCAACTACGCCGCGGAAGTCAAGTGTAGAGAGACCTACCGTCGACCCAACTCAGCTTGCACAGTTGCACATGCTGGAGGTCAACACTCTCAAGGAACTGCGTTTGCAGGAGTTGAATTGGTGACGGGAGGCCGAACAGGAGAATGCTCGATTGAAAGAAGACCTAGCCAAACGTGATGGTGAACGGGAGCCGCCGAAGTCAGTTTTCCAACAACGCTTGGATGAAGCAGGAGGATCGACGATGAAGACTGCACGTAGGAAGCAGAAAGGCGGTGCGCGTGAATAACAGGATCCAGACAATGAACGGGATATCTTTATTCGAGAAGCACGGAAGGAATTGGGTAACATTGTCAAGAAGAAAGACGATTTGGTGGGAATATGTATGAAGGAAGGGATTAAATATAGCACTATACCCAAGACAATCAACGACATTATCGAGAAAAGAGTGGAACGTACCTTCGAAAAGAGAGCTGCCGTACATGAGATTTCGGAGGACATCGAAGATGCCGGTAAGGATGATGGGAGGGACTTCGCTGACTCTTAGGGTCCCTCCCGAGCGCGGCACGCCTGTGGTCGATTGCGAATGCTTGTGTTCTTTTTCGCTATTCTTCTACCTCTAATCTGCGATGCAAGAAGGTCGATGCTCTCTTCCGGGTGGTGGTTATCGTCTTAATCTTGTGTGGGTTGATTTCTTGGGCATCTAAACTCTCATCTTGTATTCTGAGGTCGTGGATTGATGGGGAAGTTATTAAAGGTCCTCTCGTTTATGTATTGGTTTCTCCCTGGTATCGGCATCTATATGTAGGTAGTACTACTCGAGATTTGGGTACACGATGGGTTGAGCACGTGTACAGGACATGCAGCGATACGTTGAGCAGTAAGGGCAGAAGAAACGAACGTCTTTATTGTTGGCTTCGACGATGTGATGTGGGAAAACACGTTGCCATTTCTATCTGTGGTTGTACGGATGAGTACTTAGCTGACACCGAGCGTTTCTATATTCGTCACTTCTCGGCGGCACTGAACTCTAAGGATAGACCTAAGAAAGGTAAGCGGAGACGTTTGGGGAAGAGGGAGAGGTTGCGGAGGAAGAAGAAATCTGGGTTGTCTTTGACCAGTGCTGTTCAAAGTTGCGTGTTGACTTTCCATGCGTCCTGTGGAGTTACTTTCTCAAGTCTTCTTCGAATACTTAATCATTGTCGGGACAACTCGATTGATCGGATGGTAGTCGTCTGTTGTGGTGGACCATTGTTAATAGATAAGTGGAAAATCCTTGGAAGGTGTTATGGGTCCTCAATTGTTGTGTACAATGGTGATAGAGACCAGTTTAGAAGCTCGAAAGGATGGTTGGTCGATGAAGCGGTTATTCTGTTTGAGTCGATTGTTCCTTTCTGCAATAAATCTCTGATGATCAAACCTTGTCTGGTTCAGTTGCTTAGTCACCCTACGTCACGACGACAGTTGACTTCGTGGGATTTTCGTGAGCTGGTTTTCGTTTTTTTCTGTTGTTCATTGCTTTCAAGAGAAACGCACCCGCAACAGATTATGTACCATACTTTCCACAGTGATCTACAAGCGGTTTGGTGTGCATGTGCGTTAGAGGTTGGTGGTTCGTGTAGTATATGATGACCGTTTTTGTAAGATGGTTGTTAGGAAGTTGACTGCTCATTTGATTAGAAGACTGGATGTCAAACCGGTATGGATGGATATGTTGGTCAGACGTATGCGGGTGGTGTGATGCAAAAATCAGTCGGTAGGTGACTTGGTGCATAATTTTCGGAAGGTAGCTAGGAATGGCGATTACACATGTCAATGCCATGATGCTGATGCATTGTTCCCACGTGTCGAAGGACATGTTTCTTTTTGAATTAGTTCCGTTGATTTCTTTCATCGGTGTATGCAGAATTCTAAAAATGTGTTGCGACCTGAAGATTAGCATCCGGTGTCTCAGCTCAAACGACAAATTCTTGGGTCCTTCAATTATTTTCACTATCTTCCGTCGTTACGTCTTGAGCCGTCTGACGATGATCACTTTACCTCGTGTCTTCTCAGTAAGAAGTCTGATGAATTGGCTGTGTATGATTATTCCGTTTTTTCTAAATGTGCAGTCAAACAACAGTTGCGTCGGTTGCGTAATCTAGTGTGTTGCCCGCTTGACCACAATATTGGTGACACCTTCATTTGTTGTCCTGTGGTGTATGGAGATGGTATGAGGAAGCTCTTTTCGGGGAATGATTCCTTCGTTCCAATTACTGATTCGGCGAAGGATGTGTTGGCCGTATGTAAGGCGCAGTATGAAGCAAGGAAGTTTTCTAAGTTTGGTAGATGGAACAAACATGGCACATTCGGCAATGCTTATTGTTTGGCGAAACATAAGGACGTAACTCGATGGCGTCCGATTTGCCCGTCACATTCGGATGGTTCCGTTTTGGGTGGTAGACGTGTTGCGAGAGCAGTTAATCACCTGTTATGGAGATTGCCGGATAGCATGCATTTTAACATGAAGTATACTGCTGACATTATGGGAAAGATTGAGGCTGTTAATTCAATGTTGAGGGAAGATGAATTTGTGATTGGTGGAGCCTTTGACATCAAAGAGATGTTCTCCAACCTACCTCATCGCTCCGTCTTGGCTGCCGTCAGATGGATTTTGGAATATTGGATTAGCGAAGGTTTTTCTGCAGTATTGGTTCGTATGCATGGTAGAATTGCCAGGCTGACGAAGGGGAAGGGCGAATCTGGTTGGGCTCGGATACGTTTTTCGCAGATTTTTGAGTTCTTCCGGTACAATTTGGACAACACCTTCATCTTGGTTTCTGGGAAACTGTTTCGGCAGACTGTGGACATCCCTATGGGGAGCACGACGAGCCCTGCATTGGCTTGTCTACTCTGCGCCTTTAACGAATACACCTTCCCATCGTCGTTGAAGAAGCAACGGTTGTAGGTGCATGGTTGCAGAATTGTGGATGACCTTTCTTTCTTTGTCAAATTTCATATGTCATATCATCCTTCTCGGACGATGGTTGACCGGATCTTGGAAGAGTTTCGTTCATGTTATGATGATGCTCTTGTTTTAGAGCAGACGAATGTGTCATAGGACTGGGATTTTATTGGTTGCAGATTGATGATCGTAAATGATCCATGTAAAGTGGTGTGTATGGCAAGGCACAAGAACCAGGGTGGTGAGATCAATCGTCCGTTAATCTTTCAAAGCATTCAAGATTTCTCTTCTTTCACGAGTAAACAACATAAATTTGCAGTCATTTGTTCCTTCTTGCATTGGGCCAGAACGTATACATCTGTTCCTGGTCTCGAGTTGCCCTTTTTTTTCATGCTGAAACATGAACTTTGGTTACGTGGTTATCCTGATTTTTACTTTGATAAGTCTCTGATTCACTTCTCCCGGAAGTTTGCTCAGTGCTGGGAACATTGGATTCCAATTCTTACAAATTGGTGACGTTTAAGTTGATACGCGTGGTATTCTGTTTCTCTCAGTGTAACTGAATGTGTAGTGGTATATCATCTATCAATGGCTTGCCGTGAGGTCTATGATAAGTAATAGTACGTATTGTGAACGTGATGAGACAATTGGTTTTGGAACCCTTGAGATCTGTTGGACAGCCCGCGGGTTTTTAGTCCCGGGGTCCTATATATTTTGGGTTCATTCGATGGGACCATACGAAGTAAGTTGACTTGTGGAGTATACTGGCGGTGGAGGATTCGCGGGTTTCGGTCCCAGGACCTGTTTTTTTGTTCGACGGTTATAACCTGCGGGTTTCAGTCCCGGGGTACATTTTGTTGCCAGTACCGGGTACTAGTCCCGGGGTATTTTTCTTTTGTGGCAGGTCAGAGGTTCGATTTCTGGCTTTAGTTTGCGCCCTTTGTGTAGACGTTTCTACTGTCCCTTGATGGAATCTACGACTTCTATTCAGAGCACAGGATATAAATTAGTGACGTCTGCATAGGCTAGACACCTCACGACCGACGAAGACCCCTGACGAGCGCCGGTGGCGGCCGGCCGAAAATAGTCGGGTCATTGCCGTCTGTAGTTCATTCAAATTTTTCAATGTGGCGTTCCGGAGAACTTTTTTCATCCTAGTGTTTCTTCTTGTCTCTTCCTCCTCTTCCTCCCTCTTCTTCGCTCCCTTTGCTTTTGTCTTCATTTCTCTCTGGTCTCCTGTCCTTGGACGATGTGATGTGGATTGATGACTGTTGTTACTGTTTATGCTGAGGTTGCACGATTGGATGTACTAATCACACGGCGCGAACGCCTTTCACCCATGGAAAAGTTGATTGGGCCGGTAGTACCAAACGGCCGAACTTTGGGCGGCCAAAACCGAAAAGGTTTTGGCGTGGGCTCTTTCTACCAATTATCCCCTCTCTGTCTCTCTCTACACGCGAGCATCGCCATGAAGGTTAAGATAAGTGTAGCACAAGTCCTTTGATGACAATGGCGACTCTGTAAACGAGTTGCGCCCGGCCAAACGGAACTGCTCACCCACCCCGCCGATTTCGCTCCAAATATCCGCAATAAGAATGGATCTTTCTTTAGATCATGGAAAGATACGTTATTTTCCAGCCATGCAGAGCGCTAGTGGGTGGCTACTTCCATCGTCAGGATGAGCAAGTCTCCAATCTTCGCGGCTGCTCCAACGTTACTTCCATCGAAATGAATTTTTCACCAGATCATGGCCAAATACCGAAGTTCCCATTTCCGTAGTGGGGGCGCAACTCCTACTGCTCCTGGTGCAATTTTCGCCCCCCACCTCATCAATCTGAGTTCATAGATGGATTCACGAGGCCCGAAAACGCCGGAATCGGATCTTAGGTCGTTCGATTCTATAAAGAATCGAGTGAAATAATGAAATTCCGCCTTCTGCCATAGTTGCGCTCCCACCATCGTCACGCACTCCGTTTTTTTACTAACTCCTACTCTACTATCCTTACTAAAACTGAACACAAATTCAGATTCGCCCGCCCTAAAAACCCTTGCCTACCATCTTCTCCAGCTCATTTTCACTGAGGAACGAGGGGGGCATACATCTTCAACCTCCGCTATAGCCACATTCACCCGTAGCTGCTTTCCTCCCTGCTTTGCTTGCACCAGGCACAGCTTCGCGTCCAGATCCGCCTTCGGCCTCAACAGCTGCGCTATCCTCCAGGATAGTTCGGAGGGAACCTCCTACTAGGCTGCTTGGTCAGTCTTTTTTTTTTTTTTTTTTTTTTTTTTTTTCCAAATGACACGGCTCGATCTATTGGTGGGGAGAATCACCTGCTGGAAACCGTACAATGTCACATGTATCAATCTCTGGTCATTGTCCGTTAATGCACGTGCACAGTGGTCATTCTACTGTAACCCCCCGGGTTCCGAACTCCCTTGGAGCTGCTGTTGTCACCCATCCCCTCTTGGAGCCCCACCTACTCTGTTGACCCAGTGCAA